GGCCGGCAGCGCCTGCTGGGCACCGCGCCCGCGGGGGCCCACGGCCGCGGAGCTCGGAGACAGGCCGTTGTCAAGGTCCCTTTCTGGAACAGGGCAAGGCTATTGTGATGATCTATTAATCGGAAATCATTAGGAAAATTTGCATATTGAAACCGTGTTTGCTCGCATCGCCCTTGGGGAGCTGCGGTCTGTGTCCTTGGGTGTAGGGTGTAGGTGGCCGAGTGCCCTGATTAATTATGCACGAATTCTGATTCCTGGTGTCACATGCCAGCACATTTTGTGTTGTGAAAGCTCTGTGGCAGGTAGGTGGTCCTAGCCACGGGGGAGAGCTTCAGACTTTGTTTTTAATGTCAACTGTAAGATTTGAAATGTTTTTAGCACAAGTTCTGATGCAGCTTCTCGACTTCTGTACCCCCTCCCCCGCAACCCCCCCACTTTTTTCCTCTGTAAATCTTTTTAAGATCTCAGTCCTTTGAAAAGTTTACAGCTGTTTACTCGAATACTTTTCAGTTAATTCACACATCTTTCCAGCTCAACTGAAGACCGCAGTAAATTAGTTGCATGTTCTGAGCATCATGCTTACCTAGAATACAATAAACCAGAAAATCCCAGAAAGTAAAATATTTCTAAGTATCTCGCTTTACTCTCTGACTTCACCCCCACCTCCTTTGCATTTGAGAAAGGGGAAGGGGGCAGGACTGGGGAGGCAGCAAAGTTCAGTAATGGGCAAACACTGTCTCCCTCGATTAATGATTAATTTCTCAGCGGGTGGGCCGGCAGGTCGGCCCCTCGACCCCAGCCAGGTGCCTGCCCGCGGGCTTCTGGGGCGGGCAGAGGGTGGAGGAGGTGGCCGTCCCCTTCGGGAAATGCAGCCGCTGCACACTGGCTGCACACTGGAGGGTGGACGCGCAGGGCTTCCTGTCCAGCAGGGAAATCTGCTGGGGACCTTCGGGCGCCGCCAGCTGCCTGCAACTGGGTTCCTGCACAACCTCGCCCTTGATATTAAGTCTGGAAGTGATTGAATACCCGAGTCCCCCCAGTTCGAGCCTTTTGATGTACTTTGTGTGCATGTGTTTCTGTCACATACGTGCCACAGAGGAACAGATTTTGTTTTGACACTATTTTGGTTCATGATGTTATACTTTGACTATTTTACAATAATAGCCAATGTAAACAAACATCTTTGGGATTTTCAAATTATTACTTGTGATTCTTGGACATTGCGGCTCTGCGATACTGACGCATTCCTGGCTTTTCCCAAGGACACCGTTTGTTCAAGTCCGCGCCAGCCTCGTTAGCCCGCAGCCCCGCGCTGGGCTGGCTCATTAAGAGCCTGGCGCGCGCCTTTACACGCTCGCGAGTTGATTAAGGCAGAGCCTTCTCCTAGGATCATTTTTGGACCCTGGTGGAGTGAAATGGCTAAATATGGTGAAAGTTTGCTAGCGTCTTTCTTTAGCGGCCATGTCAGAGTCCAGCCTGCCTGGTGGAGATGAATTCGACGCAGTTGGCATTCAACCCAGCTCCACGTTCATTTAAAGATCATTTTAAGGGGATTACGAGGCTGTATAAGTTAATGATTAAAGAGGGGCCTGAGTGAGTGTGTTTCAGCAAGCCCGGCCCGAAATTCCCTCTAGAACTCCATGTTCGTGGGGAACATGACATTGGAGCATTTTCAGGACGGTCCCCAGCCGTTTGGAAAATCGGTCATCTAGAGTCTCGGGGCTGGCATTAGAGGCCTCCAAAGTTCAGATGGACCTGGCTGCCCAGAGGGCCCTGGGTCTGCAGCCCCGTGGGCGGCGGGAAGGTGTGAAGGGCTTCCGGTGCGGCGGTGG